ACTCACACTACGTATTCATTTGAAGCCACCATAGATAAGGCACATTCATACTCAATAGTCATGACAAGGAAGTAACTCATAATACAATCCAAGTATAGCATACATTATCTCATTTAAGCATATAAGAGTCAACATTCTTCATTAGCTTCATTTAGGACACATTCATACATGTAACGACCATTTTGGTCCTTTTGAGTACTAGAGATTTTTATTTCATAAAATACTTTCCGATAGATTCTAAATGAGTATTTTGGACTATTCGTAACTACATTTATGAATTTAGTGGGGTAGTTTTAGTAATTAATTTAGTTGGTGGTTAAGGAAAATAACATTAGAATTAATAGTGGACCACTTTTACCACTCCCATAATTAGGCTTAATAATAATTGGGGATTTCCATCGTGAGTTAGAAACTCAATAGAACTTCAAATACAGCGATACAATTTGCAGAGAGGCCGACGAGTACTTCAGGTAAATCCAATATCCAATATGTATTTGGTGTATCAGAATTGATGCATTAACACTGTTCGAGTTTGAAACAATGGAAGCCTTGACTACAATCAGTAAAGAAGCAGAGTAGAAAAGATAACTTGTAACTTGTAGAATGCAAAGCTTGAATGATTCTATTTCATCAGTGAAGTATATATACACATCAGCTGGAAGCTTCTAGACTATTACACTTTGAGCTAACTAACTATACACATTGAATACATGAGCTAACTAACTCTCTAACCAATTCTATAACTAACTATGTGAGCTGTACAATGCAATACGTGAGCTGTGCAATATAATACTTAATACCCCCCCTCAAGTTGGAGGTGAAGATAACACTGCCAACTTGTCAAGGATAGAAGAGTGCTTGATTCCTGTTAAGGCTTTGGTCAATATGTCAGCCAACTGGTCTTGTGTAGCAATATGATGCAATGAGATAAGTCCTTGTTGTAAGACATGTCTCACAAAGTGACAGTCTACCTCGATGTGTTTGGTCCTTTCGTGAAAAACAGGATTCTTGGCAATGTGTAGTGCAGACTGACTATCACAAAAAACCGAAATAGGCTTTGGATAGGGAACACCCAACTCAGTAAGCAGTCGACTTAGCCAAACCAATTCACCTACTACTTTCCTGAGTGATCTGTATTCAGCCTCTGCTGATGATAGAGAGATGGTTTCTTGCTTCTTTGACTTCCAGCTTATTGGACTGCCCCCAAGCAATACTATAAATCCACTCACAGACTTCCTGGAATCTGGACATGAGGCCCAATCTGAATCACAATAGCCTTTCATAGAAAAATCTGCATCTTTGGACAAAAACAAACCCAATGTAGGATCAGACTTCAAGTATCTTAAGAGGCGAAAAACAGCCTGCAAGTGTGGCTCTCTAGGGTCCTGCATAAACTGGCTTAAGTGTTGAACACTAAAAGCAATATCCAACTTTGTGTTTGTAAGGAAGTTAAGTTTTCCAACTAACTTTCTGTAGAAAGTACTATCACTTAAAACTGGACCTTCCTTAGCTCTCAGCTTGGTATTGGGATCAAGAGGGGAAGATAAGGAGCTCAGATGCAAACAATCATACTCCTTTAGTAAGTCAAGCACAAATTTTCTTTGTGAGACAATAATTCCCTGATCTGTGTGAAGTACCTCCATTCCCAAAAATAGTGAAGTAATCCCAAATCCTTAATTTTGAATTTGTTGTTTAGATAAACTTTCAGGTCTGCTATCTCATCAGCATCAGTACCTGTAAGAACTATATCATCAACATACACAGCTACATAAACTGCTGAATTTGCTTTCTTCTTATAGAAGAGAGAATAGTCATACATAGAGTGAGCATATCCCCTAGAACATAAAGCTTCAGTGAGCTTAGCATACCATTGCCTACTAGCCTTCTTGAGTCCATAAAGGGACTTGTTCAACTTGCATACCAAATTAGGAGACTGGACAGCAAGTCCAGGTGGTACGTCCATGTACACTTCCTCATGTAGATCACCATGAAGGAAGGCATTATTTATGTCCAGTTGATACATAGTCCACCCTTGTTTAACTGCTGTGATTAATAAGGCCCTGACTGTGGTCATTTTCACTACAGGGGAAAAAGTTTCAGTATAATCAATGCATGCTTGCTGTGTATAACCCTTGACAACAAGTCTGGCCTTGAGCCTTTCTATGCTCCCATCTGCCTTGTGCTTCACCTTGTAGACCCACCGGCAGCCTATAGCTTTCTTTCCAGGGGGAAGGGGAACTAAATCCCAAGTGCAATTTGAGTGCAAGGCATCAAACTCCTGTGTCATGGCGAGCTGCCATGCAGGATCGATGACAGCTTCCTCATATGAAGTCGGTTCCCTGTCAATGCAAACATTTCTAACAATATCTTGACTAGCAGGAATTAGAGCACTATGAGCCAAGTGGTGGTGATTAGAGAAAAGGGCTTGGAGGGAAGGGTTGGTGTTTGAGTTTTGAGGAACAGATGGTTTAAGTTGAGGTATAGAGTGAACATAATCATTCAAATGTTTTGGAGGTTTGTGACATCTAGTGGATTTCCTAGGTTCAGTTTGTGGAAGAGCATGAGGTTGGTTAACAGATAGGGGTGCAGGAGGTAGAGAAGGAGAAGGCATGGATGCAGAGGGATTAGGTGACAAGTCACATGTAGCAGTAGAACCATTTGAACTATTTAGAGTATCCTGTGTGCCATTTTTAACAAAAACATCCAAAATATCAATGAAATAAGGTGACTGCAACAATGAAATAGGGGAAACAGTTGTAGTTGCAGGGGCATTATTAAAAGGAAAAATATTTTCATGAAAAACAACATCTCTGGAAATATGTATTTTACCGGTAGACATATTTAGGACTTTGTACCCTTTTGTCTCATGAGGATATCCAATGAAAAATATGAGGAGTAGTTCTTGGTTCAAACTTAGCTCTATGAGGTATGGGTACAGTAGGATAACAAAGACATCCAAAACTTCTCATGTGTGAATAGAGGGGTTTTCTGTGGTATAAAATTTCATAGGGACATTTTTTGTTCAACACAGTGGATGGGAGCCTATTTATTATGTATGTTGCACAGAGAATGCACTCTCCCCAATACTTAACAGGAAGTTTAGACTGAAACAACAGTGCTCTAGCAGTCTCAAGAAGGTGTTTATGTTTTCTCTCCACCACACCATTTTGTTGTGGTGTATAGGGACAAGTTTTCTGGTGAAGTATACCTTTGGTTTGAAAATAAAAGGTTGCCTCTGTATTGATAAATTCCAGACCATTGTCTGTTCTGATTGTTTTGACAGTGGTTTCAAATTGGTTTTCTACCATAGCAATGAAGGCTTTGAGAGTTTGTAAAGCATTGCTCTTAGTACTTAACAACTGAGTCCAAGTGGACCTACTAAAGTCATCCACAATAGTGATGAAATATTTAAAGTGGTTATGTGTTGGTGTATGATAAGGCCCCCACAAGTCAACATGAAGTAATTCAAAAGTGTGTGAGGTTAGTGTGGTTCGTGGTTTAAAAGGTAGTCTTTCTTGTCTTGCCATAGGGCAAATGGAACACATAAAAGGTTGCTTGGCTGAGAACTTCACAGGGATGGTGGAAATATCTCTCATTTTGACAAAAGGGACATGTCCCAATCTATTATGCCACACAATGTCTACATGATTTCCAGCACATGTTTGAGAACTAGAAGTACAAGAAACTGGACATGGAATAGAACATGACATTTCTTTATTGAGAATAGGAGTACATTGCTTGTTATCTAAAGTCTGAATAGACTGTCTGTTACTACAGTTATTGCAAGAATTATTTGGAATGACACTACTACATTTTGAAACGTTGAAAGAGTTCTTCAAACAACTTGGACACAGGAAGTATAGACCCTCTTCTGCACTACCAATCACCAGAGGCCTCTTCATTGAAGGGGCCTGCATGAAACAAGAAGTTTTGGTGAAGCTAACAGTGTATTTTGAGTGAACAGTCAGAGTATGAATAGAAATCAAGTTATATTTAAAAGATGGCACATACAGAACTTTATCTAAATTGATCATGGGCCCTAATGTCACACTACCAACTTGAGTCACCTTAACTTTGTATCCATTAGGCAAGGCAACTAACAAAGGATATGGTAAAAGTGTGATGTTGTGTAGTAGAGATATATTAAAAGTCATGTGGTTTGAGGCTCCCGAGTCCAATATCCATGAGTCAGATTTGTTTTTGAAACAATTACATGACAGTTTTCCAAAATCAATAGAGGAAGTGCAGACTATGATACCTGCAAAATCAGTTGCTGGTCCATTAGCAAGGTTTGGATTGTTGTTGGATCCCTCATTCTCATGTTCCCTGTGGAATTGCTGAAGCATGCCTTGAACATGACCATATTGGTCTTTGGTAAGGCTCACATTGTACATCTCCTCATCTAATCTTTTGCCAGGGGTAAAGTCTGGTGTGCAATTAGCATTTGCTACAACATTATTGCCAGATCCTTTGTTGGTCCTCTGATTTCCCTTGCGAAAAGTATTAGGCCTCGGAGTTGGATTGTTTCTTTGATTTGGGCTTGGGTTGTTTGAACTAGTTGGATATCCATAAAGTTGATAACACTTCTCAATAAGATGACCAGTCCTGTTGCAGTAAGTGCAGAATTTGTCCTTGTATTGAAGCTGAGAGTGACCACCAGTAGGAGCATAGTTTGTCTTGTAGGATAAAGAAGGCCTGACATTTGATAAAGAAGGCCTGACGTTTCCAGCATGTAAAGCAGTAGCTTCTACATTAAAATGGTTAGAAGGCTTAATTTCCCTCTGGTGTTCATCCTGGACTAACAGAGAAAAGGCCTGAGCCATAGTAGGCAGCGGATTCATCATAAGTATGCTCCCACGAATAACTGTGTAAATCTCGTTCAACCCCATGAGAAATTGGATTAACCTTCTATCTTGTTCTGCTTTGTGAACAAGTGTCTTTGCTCCGCAAGTGCAGTTGCAAGTGCATTGAGCTTTGGCATTCAAAGTACTAAGCTCTTCTCAGAGCTTCTTCAATTTGGTGTAGTAACATGTGATATCAAGAGAGCCTTGTGACAAGTCGTTAATTTCTCTTTGGATCTGATACAACTTCGCACCATTTGTTTGTTCATATCGATCTTCAAGTTCTTTCCATAATTCTGCAGAATCCTGGACATACTCAACACTATCAGCAATTTCCTTAGATAGAGAATTCAGGATCCAAGAGGTAACGATATCATCACATCTTTCCCATTGTCTGTACGATGAGTCATTGGATTGAGGGCGTGGGCAATCCCCATTAATGAAGCCCAACTTGTTCTTCACTGAAAGTGATCTCAGAACACTACGCCTCCAGGAACGAAAACCAATTTCAGCAAATTGAACTGGTACAAGCATTGCTCCGGGGTTATCAGAAGGATGCATGTAAAAAGGGTGATTGGAATCAATTGTGTTGTTGGTGGAACCACCAGATTGATCAGAATTCGCCATAGATGAGCAGAGAAGGAGAAAACGAACAACAAAAGAGATCTACGCAATTGCAGATCAGATCGTAAAAGGATGAGTACCTCAGAATCGAGATTGCTCTGATACCATATCAGAATTGATGCATTAACACTGTTCGAGTTTGAAACAATGGAAGCCTTGACTACAATCAGTAAAGAAGAAGAGTAGAAAAGATAACTTGTAACTTGTAGAATGCAAAGCTTGAATGATTCTATTTCATCAGTGAAGTATATATACACATCAGCTGGAAGCTTCTAGACTATTACACTTTGAGCTAACTAACTATACACATTGAATACATGAGCTAACTAACTCTCTAACCAATTCTATAACTAACTATGTGAGCTGTACAATGCAATACGTGAGCTGTGCAATATAATACTTAATATGGTGAATATGAACAAAGGTTTTATGATTATTATTAGATTATCGTTATTAGACGAGAATTTGAAGAGAACGAGTTTTCACTGGTAGTGTTAGGTTGACATCTGGTGATTAATGGCGATAGGTGGTTGAATTGTGATTAATTTCTGAGTGGTGATGTAAGGAAATTATGTAGTGCAAGGGTAGTAATATGGATTGTCGTTAAACTGTAAGGGAAATTGTGGGTAGTGATTATTGTTGCCTTGGGTTGAATAATTGGGTGAAAACTTTGGTGGAGACAAACTTGTCTCCATGTTCATTATTTGATTAAATTATTGTTAAGTACTAAAACAATAGGTGGCAAATTATTGTCTATTGAGTTTAGTGAGTGGATTGCAGGCGAAAACTTTATAAACTTGAATGGTCACTGTCATGTTCTGATAATTTTGAAATGGCTTTCGTGTGTTTGCTGCCACTGGTATCGTGACCAGTGGCTTCAGTTTTACCATATTATAAACTAAAATTTGATATATTGAGATAGAGGTAATTAAATATAAGGTGTAGTATATTATATGAATTACATTAAAGTTATGCTAATTGGAGGAATTAAGACTTACCCTTAGGTTTGAACTTTAGGAAGTTGATTATAGAATTAGGTGAGTTTTTGGGTATAGGCTGGACATAGAATAATATGAGTGTTTATAGGCTTGTTAACTTACAAAGTATGCATATATACTTGATAGATTGAAAAGGTTCGGAGGCATTGAGGAAAGGAAAGGCATTGAAGAAGTAGCTTGCCTGACGTTAGTTCTTCGGTGGAGGTAGGTTATGGTTTATTCTATTTCGATAGTTAGACTCTTAATAGTGACTAATATGTATTGAGTGATATTGTGAAGTTCTCTATGTATTTGATTGTGTGGTTTTGTGTGCTTGTGTGGTTTGGTTGTATGGTTTGTGATTGGTCTAAAATCCTGAAATCGTAAAATTTATAATCTGAAATCCTCTCTATCGAAGTGATGCCTTGAATAAAGAAGGCTTGATGAAATAAATTAACGGTATAATTGGATCGGAGTGTCACGTTCCGACACGGTATTTTTGGATCGGAGTGTCACGTTCCGACACGGTATTTTTGAGAGTGTCACGTTCTGATACGGTATAATTGGATCGGAGTGTCACGTTCCGACATGGTATAATTGGATCGGAGTGTCACATTCCGACACAGTAACATTAAAGGAAAAAGATATTGAATTAACTTAATGTACTCAATCTCAAAGAACCCATTTCTCAAATGAGCGTGGTGTGGAGGCATGAGTCCCCATATGTGTGCTTGATATTGTGATTGATTGCGTACTTACTTTAGTATTGTTGTCACTGGTTCATGTTGTTCGTTGCTTGCCACCTGCTAAGTGTCATAGTTGATTTTATCCTATTATTCACTATATATTAGTTTCTATTTTGGGTTGTCCGATGATTCCTACTCAGTACGTGTTCCTTGTACTGACCCCTACTTGTGTTTTCTTCGTTTTTCTTTTGTGGAGTGCAACAAGTGTACCATCGACTTTGACTCGCCCTCAGCCCTAGCCAGTCTCCAGCACATCAGATTTCAGGGTGAGCTATTCCTTCTAGCTCGTGCTGGATTCTCTCAGTCATGGCATGATGTCCTTAAATTTCGGACATGGACCATCATATTTACTTTTTGGGGTCTCTAATACTTTTAGACTTGGTATTTTAAAAACAGATGTCCTTGATGTGATGACTTTCAGGTTTTGAGGATAATGTATAATAGACTTTAGAGGTTGATTTGATTGGTTACTTTAACAAGTTTTGAGCTCCGCATTTTACTATTATTCGTAGTTGAATTATTGATTTATGTTGGGGTTTAGATTCCTTGGTTCGCCCACTTAGGAAGTTAAGTGTGGGTGCCACTCACGACTCGTTTTGGGTTGTGACAATACATTAGCCATTAAAACTTAGAGAACTCACTATGACCCCCTCAAAGCCTACTCGTGCAATGCATGGATGACATCCCATACTACCACCCACACTTCATAGAACTCATCAAGAAACCATAATGCACATCTCACATGATGAGAATATGCATTAACCAACATAGACCATGAGAGCTAACCATGGAATCCGGTGTCATATGGCCCCACACCGTAAAAATGTGGTCTACTTACCTAAGGTAGGGCATGTAACATTTTAGCTTGGATGGAAATCCACTAGCTAATATCCTATGTGGGCACATAGTTATGGGATAAAAAGATGTTCATTGGAACCCTAGCCTAACATTGGGAGAGTTTTCATCTTACCATATCCACTCGGTGCTTAGCCTCCATTCCCATAGAGTATTCATTTTCATTACATTATTGTGCTTGAGAGGAATGCCATTGGCCTATCGACCCAAGACACCTCATTACACATGAAAGGAATGCCATAAGCCTATAGATTCATGGTACATTACATGGATAGCTCATTGAATCCTCAAGAAGGGCCACCAACATTAGGTCTATCAATACAAGGTTCATCATTTCACACATGAAAGGGCTACCAACACTAGGACTACCGATTCAAGGTTTATCATCACATTAGTTTCTAGACCCATCATGAAGGGCCACCAACACTAGGTCTACCGGTTCAAGACATAGTCTAGAATACTTCATCATTTATTTATGAAAGGAATACCATAAGCATATCGATTCATATCCATCAAGTCAATACACATTCATTACACAAGAGATGATGCCTAATTCTACCAACTCAAGGTTCAACAATCAACTATACTTACATTCATTTAAGAAGAGGATGCATAAGCCTACCAATTCAAGATACATCATCACATTACTTTCATCTATACAAGAAAAGGATACATAAGCTTACCAATTCAAGATATACAATACATAGAAGGAAATCCTTCACATTCCATCATCCATCATTCATGAGTGTTAATTGAGAATATGCTTTCAACAATAACACAATTACATTCTAAACATGATTATCATACTATCATTGAATTCACACCTACATACTTCACATCATAGTCATACATAGATCCTTCATGAACTTGCCTTTCAAGCCTATGAACCAACATCAGTCCATAAATCTAAGATACTACAATAGATAATTAAATTGACATGATTCAATCATTACTTCAATATAAACATAAACAATTCAACATACTTCAACAATCAATCAATACCAATCTCAAATCACAACTTAGAATTTTGGGGGAAAACATGGGTTCTAGGAAGAAATCATCTTAATTTATCTTTAAATCCACAATTCATTCATAATTCAATGCAATAAAGCCTTTGAAAATCGTTTGGAATCGAACCCATGCCAAGATTGAAAACTAGGATTTTGGGGAAAATATGGGAGACTCAATCACTTTTGAAATTGGCTCCTTGAAAGAAACTAAGTCAAGGATGAAGATCACCATACCTTTTATGGAAGGAATCCACGAAAATCCCTTGAAAAACTTGAATTCTTGACCTTGGAAGCTTGAATCCTTCACCTCCATGGAGGTTTCTAGAGAGAGAACTTTTGAGAAGAGAGGTGAGTTCTATTTGGATTTTGAAATAATGAATTGGAAAATAGAGTTTAATACTTTTAATACTCTTAAAATACCATAATTAACCCAAAATAACCGTCCCCTCACTTAACTAAATTAATTAGCAATTTACCAAACCACCAACCCACGAATCGTGGATTGGGTCACGCCCCGTCTTGGTCAACCGTGGTTCATGGTTGTGGCTTGGTTTTGGGGGCCTTGACCTTCGGAGGCAATCCATGGGGCGTGGATGGACCTACGGGGCGTGGTCCTCTTCCGTAGGTCACCATATTTTTAGGCAGTTTTGGTTTTCTTTGGGGTCTTGAGGTTAGGCTCTAGGGTCCTCCTCAAGGACCCCTAGGGTGGTCCTTGGGGAGTCGTACCTTGACACTTAATCCCTAAACCCCTCAACCATAGCTCGGGACAACATTTTGCAACAAGAAACCTTACAACAACTCAAACACACACTAGTTAGGCTCTAGCTTCACCTATTCGTTTTACGGGTCGTTACAAATCTCTTATTCCCATAATAATGAAATAAATTAATGAATGTCAAGTACTCTGTGGGGAATAATGCTAAGCACTGAGTGGATATGGCTTGAGATGAGTTCTTATCTGTGAGTTGATGCGGGGTATCTAGTAGCAATCTCTTGAGATGGATGCTCATCCGTGAGTTGAGGCGGGGTGTCTAGTAGCAATCTCCCTATCCCATAACTATGTGCCCACATAGGTTATTAGCTTGTGGATCCACCTAAGCTAAAAGTAATGTTCCTACCTTAGGCAAGTAGGAATCCCTTATCGGGTGTGGGTAACACCGAGATTTGATGAATTTGCTCACATGGTCTATGTCGGTTAAGGCTTACCTCTATAAAGAATGATAATGAACTATGGCTTCTCAAGAATGCACTACTTAGTGTGGGTGGGGTTATGGGACTTCATCCATACATTGCACAAGTAGGCTTTGAGAGGGGCTATGATGTGTTCCTCTAATGTCTTAATGTCTAATGAATAAATGTGCTCTTAATGAAGCTAATGAGAATGTTGACTTAAAGTCTTATTGTAAAGATGCATG